AACAAGTATGACAAACCGCACAAAACTTGCATGGAGATTCAGTTGTGTCAACAGAAAAATTTGAAAGTTCCTACGTGCGACTGTTAAGGCCTTTCAGGATAGAAAATGGGTTCGGCCTATTCTGAGCGACGCGAGCAAGCAGTACTGGTTGCCAATACTGGAACTCTGCTCCATAACTCCAAGAGAAGAAGGTTCTGACTTCGTTGTAAGCGCACTTCACAACAGGATGTTCCCCGATAACAAAGTGAGAAGATGGCCACGGCTGGGAGCAGATGGACAGCTGAGGATGACTTCGAAATTGGACATCCACGGAGAAAAAGTCTTGCTACTGTGTGGTGAAACAGTATAAGACTGGCTTACTATGGAGAGCTGATTGTGGGTCAGACAGTTACAGCTGAACTCTGCGTATAACAGCTCCACCGCATGGGCCGAGCGCTGCATCTTCAAGGGGTGAATTCGGCCAATGTAAAACTATTGCACCATAACGGAAGACCACATGTCGTGAAAATCACGCAACAAGAAATCGAGGAGTTGGGCTGGGACGTTCTACCTCCAGCGCCATATAGCCCAGGTCTGGCGCCGTCCGACTATCACTGACCCAGGTCAGCGCAACACTCCTTAGCAGCAAACCAATTCGATAACCGCGACGACGTCAAAATTTGAGTGCCCAACTTCTTCGAGTCGAACCAGAAAGAGTTCTACGCGGTAGCCATCCATGCTCTGCGTAACAAAAGGTGATGAGCCTGTGACACAGGTGAAGGAAGATGGTTCAGGTTGATGTGCTTCATTATTGTTTTTATAATGAAAATAATTGATGATCGAAAATGACATTCTCAGTCTGGCCAACCTAATATATAGCGTACAGCAAACGAGGGAAACAAGCGAAAATCGACCACGTGTTGCGAAAAGATCGTCCCTCAGAACATTAGGTTGACATTAGGTAAAGAGTAAGCTCCCAGCACAGGACCATCCCGGCAGACAATGCCGCAGACCTCCCAAAGAAGACAACAGTAGCAACCGAGCGAAGAATTTGATGGTGGAAGCTTAGAGAAGGACGACCTAAGACGAAGGATAATAGAAGCTGGTCTCCCGGATCCAATACTACCAGTCTAGAGGACTTGGAGTAGCGCGGCTAAGACTATCCTGCGATGCTCCGGGAAGATACTGGGCGAAACAAGGAGATAAGGAAGTATCGTTCTGGAATGAAGAAGTCCAGCGAATCGTCAAGCAGAAAAAGAGACCTACAAGCGCTGGCAGAAGAGTCGAAGCCGAGAGGACCCGCTGTCTTTAAAATCTGCAAATTTGCCAAGGCTGTTGTCGTAAAGGGTAAAACACGGAAGTGGACGCCTTGTACAGAAAGCTTGAGAGCAGAAATGCAGAAAAGTACCTTTACAGGTGGGCTAAGCCCGGCATCCGGCTATGCAACTATGGTTGTAGGCAACGATGGTGTCATCCTGAGAGAGCCAGCCGAAGTCAGAAGGAGGTGACTAAACTTCTGGACGAAAACTTCCATCAGGAACTACCCTCAAGTGATGGCCAACAGCGTGGATGACGCATTTGGACTGATGATGTGGACCCTGGGTGAATGATATGTACGATGGAGCGCAAGCAGCTGCACGCACTAACAGGAAGTAAACATTACCATTGGTCCACCAAGGTTATCAGTCGGTTCCTCTTCCACCTACCCTAGACGTAATGCAAGGATGGGGATGGAAGGTCTGGAATGGAGCTCTTCCACTGAAATCATCTGCGATCGGTGCTCCAAAGCACTCAGAGGAAAGGTGTAGCGGTAAGGCCTACGATACTAGTGCGTTTCATAATTATAAGGTCACCCTAAAATTTTGCATTTCCGGGACAAGCAGCAGACTGGCAATTTTTCTAGTATTACCAGCTTATTCCTCACTATGAAAACCCCTGGATCGAAATTTTGGCGGGAGCAGCTTTTCTTTTAACTTTTTTATAATTATTTTTCGGTTTTTGCACCGTTTCATAATATAAGGTCACCCTGTGAAAATGAATACTACATTATCAGAAACAACCAACCTGCCTGTGAAATTGAATGTTTGTTACAAACACACCCATTAGCTAAATTTATGGAATGTTTCGTACTCGTCTTTTGAAGAAAAGGTAAAGTTTATGCATTTCATGGTGCTGGCACGGTTCGCGAGTCTTTCCAAAGCACTTCGGACAGTCCTTAGCTCTGCTCATGGATAATTGAAAAGCTTCTACGTCTCCAGATATTCTACAAGTTTCGAACATCCACAAAAAGGTTTCTATAAATGATTAGGGAGTTATGAGGGCTGTCCCAAACAGTATTTCCTCTTGAAATCAGCGTCGCGCGTAATTTAATGTTTCTATCTTGAAAAATATGAACTGGAGAGCGGTGAAAAGATGCAGCAACATTGTCAGGAAAGCGACAAAGATGGTCCGAAGGCTCACTGGCCATTACGAGGAAGCACAACTTCAACCCGTAAAGTTGAACTTAGAGAGAGATTGAACAAAGTTGAGCCTGCGCCACAATCACAATCACCACAACAGTTATCTTACGCGATGCCGCCCTGTTGTAAAAAGTGGATAGGAAAGATGTAAGTTGCATGCATGCATGCAACTTACATCTTTCCTCTACATCTTTCCTCATCATCTACATGCACAATTGCAAGGAATTTGCTGGGAGGGCCAAGTGCGTTTTGAATGTGCACAGATTAAGACTCGTTGTTATAATGTCATTCATATCGAAACTACTGTTCTTTAGTAGCCTTTTGACATGTTTCAAAAGTCGTCAAAATTAGAAGCTAGGAGATTGCTTCACATAGCGATCACAAGTGTTTCAGACAATCTGCAAAGATAATAGACTCATGATCAAAACGCAAAACTCAAAATTCTACCCGTGCTATCAAGGAGGGCAGTTTATTCACGTTGAGAAGGTATTTATGTAAGCTTAATTAATAGCAAATCATCGGTTTCAGCGTAGGTTAACTTAGTTATAATAGCTTTTGAATCAGAAAATCGCTTTTTGCCATTCTGTTTTCTCACCGTGTCTGGAAGGCTGCTCAAAGGCACAACTCACGACCAAACACATTACTACTCTTCGCGAAACATGAACCTTGCGCTTGATTACTGCTGTGGTCTATAGTACTTTCAATAACACTGATGTCAAATTTGAACCATGATTCATGCGCTTATAAATACTTTTTTCCTGGACTATATCATTCAAGATGTGATAGCAAAAATCTTTGTGGAAACTTTTCGATGAAAGGATATATATGGATCTCGAAAAAAGCACATAAACAATGAATGAAATGAATGGAAGATGGTGCTCAAATGTTGTGTTAACGGTTGTATTTGTGCCTATCTCTCGCGCTACTGAACCACCCCGTTATTAGTGCCAACACAATAAGAAGAGAATCGCACTTTATATTTTTGGCGTACATGCGGGCCCAACCCTCGGGTGGTCAATTATTTTTTTATATTAAAGCGAGAAATTACGATAAAATTTCTGTGCAGCATGGAAGAACGAGCAGCACTTCAAGCAGTAGCTAGAGCCCAAAGGAATCGAGATGTGGCCTTTTTGTGACTAAAGGTGCGCTCGTTGCAGCGCCCTGGGGCTGCCAATCCTTTCTGAGCTCCGCCTCCGCCTGTGCTCCGCCCCTCAGCAGATCGCTGTTCGATTATCCTTCTATTTTATAAAGCGCTAACTTTGTGTGTCGGTTTGTGTATCTGTATGTGTGTGTGTGTGTGTATGTGTGTCCGTCCGCAAAATGAAGTGAGTGAGAAGGAAGCTCATGGGATAAACAAACCGCTAACAAATCGGGTAGCTTACAGGATTTGAGATATCAATGTTTTGTAGCAGGATAGTTGTGATAACACTCTTAGGGCTATATAAACACCTGCTTAGCACACTTCCGTTCATTCCACATGGTGCTGCAGTGGCAGCTGGAGGGCAGTGGAGAGAGGAAGGGAGGATGAGGAAGGGAAGCGAAAAATCTACCGTCATATCATGATTGTGTCCCTTCTACTGTATGAAACACCATTGTGTTGCATACGCGTCACTTCCACGAGGTGTTGGTGTCACAGGAGGAAGGGACCATAGCGGAGGATAGAAAGCTTGCGCAGGAAAGGAAGGTCCCGGCGGTTGACGGGGGACTAATCTGGTCAATTCTGTAAGGTATGCGCAACTTCGAGCCGCGTATCAAATTTTTTTTTTACTCATGGCGATCTATATTCAATCACAGGTATATGTGTGGTGTGGGGGGGGGGGGGGGGGGGGGGGGGGGGGGGGGGGGGGGGGGGGGGGGGGGGGGGGGGGGGGGGGGGGGGGGGGGGGGGGGGGGGGGGGGGGGGGGGGGGGGGGGGGGGGGGGGGGGGGGGGGGGGGGGGGGGGGGGGGGGGGGGGGGGGGGGGGGGGGGGGGGGGGGGGGGGGGGGGGGGGGGGGGGGGGGGGGGGGGGGGGGGGGGGGGGGGGGGGGGTATGGTTTCGAGTGCCGACGACCTCTTAGTTGGTTGCCAACTCGTCCATTATCGGAGGTCAACGGGCAGAGGAAAGTGGTCCCATTTTGCGCGTTTTGACGGATTTCTTTGCTTTTTTCGCTACTAGGGCATTATTCAGCATCTTTCACTTCCACTATGAGCACAACACTAGAGAGCCTAATCGCAATCTCTCGCTTTTAATTACAGCTTTGCAATTTCTACCAGCATGTAAAACTAGAAAAAATGGGATTTGAGTCATTTGAAAAATACTGTGAAACTGTTTGAAAAATATTTGTATCGGGAAGTAGACTCAATGTTCTGTTTGGGGGTTCGCGGTTGAGGCCTTCGAAGTGAGAAACCTTCCTTCGAGTTCGACACTTTGCAATTCTGATTTGCTTGGGATCATTTTAGAGCCGTCTCAAATAGTTGGTTAAAATGATTTCATCAGTAAGTCCCGTCGTCGCTTTTTTAGGCATCCGTATAAGTTTCATGCTCGACCTTTTTAACCTTGCAACGGTGACAGCGTTTTCTAGAAATTGTCCTTCCGTAAAGGTGAGCCTTATGAAACGCACTAATTTTTGTGCGTCATGAAAGTGCTGAACTTGATCTGCAAGGGCACAATCTCCCACACATTTCTCTACCCAGGTTTCCATCTGAGCCTTGTGAGGTCAAATCACCATACTGGCAATCTTTCCTACTCTCTGTTTTACTCAGAAAAGGGGGGGGCTAGCGTCGGACTTCTCCTGAGGCGATTGTCCGCGCGAATGAAAAACTATAATCGACACCGGTTTCCGGTAACCTGAGTCTAAACATTCCCAAGTTCGAAAGCCAAGCCTCTGACTGCTAACTTCCCTGAGTTTTGTTGGATAGAAGCAAGGCTTTGCGGCTGAGAGCAGACACCAAATAATACCAGTGTCAGTGGTGATGATAATCGTTGACAGTTTATGGCGAGGCTTCTGAACTGAAACATTCATTGTGCAAGTATCCTCAACGGAGCCATTCTCGACATACTGAACGAATGAATAGCATCCTCCCTTGTGCTATACTCCCCAAAGGGGTTGGGGGACGAAAATTACTTTGAATTTTTTCTGTCTCCCCAACCGGAATTGCATTGATAAAGGGCCTACATTTGTGTATGTAGGTAAAAGTAAACATGCGTTGAAAATGAAAAAACTTTCGTTCAGAACAAATAAATTTGGAGGAATCTTTGGATCACCTAGCTTCCGGGAATGGTAGCAGACGGCCCTAAGTCCAAGTTCACACCCGTCGAATCAAGTTCCGTATACTTAAAGGCAAAAGTCAGGCTCGTGTTTGGGCATTATGGCACCTGAATTGAGTGTAGAGATGGGAGGTGGAACGATAGTGAAGAAAAAACGCAAAAAAACTGTCGACAACACCGAAATCGAAACCCCTTCCCTTCTAGCAGTGAAGGAGGCTTGCTCGGGGGAGAGCCACGTTGAAACGAGTTCTTTGTCGCGACAGCCTCACACCCCCTCTGCTTGGAGACCCCACTTTTGCACCCTATAAAGGACTTTCTAATATTCCCTAAGTCCTGACTCGTGGCTTTAAGCTAGGAGTAAATCTAAAGCTCACACAGAACATATGATTTCCTGAGCTTTACCTTTTCGCATTTGAAGAAAGCTAGGCTTCCCAAAATGTAAAACTTATGCCGCTTAAGAATTTTCCTCTCCAAATCTTCTTTCAGATTGGAAATTGGCACTCTGAAGAAAGTTTTGGTTATTTTGAAAACTTTCAATTCTATTAAACGCGTGTTCCCTACGTAGACAAGCTTGTTCCAAGGTCCAGCTACGGCGATTGCGTTGCAAGAGCAATCACATCTGCTTCACAGGCTCATATATGCACGCGAAAAAAGTTTCATCCTGGGGGGGCTGGGAAGGGGGGGCGCTGCTACTACCCTAGTGGTCTGTGGATCTAATTAGTCCAAACCAGTGAACTCTACCATCTTAACGAGGTCACGCAAGCTCTGCTCTGTGGACTTGTTGTGTAGAATTAAAGCATTGATTTCTTCATTGAATGATGTATACACGCTCCACTGTATTGGCTATTATTTCATTCCAGAAAGGTAGTCGAATGCGCGGCTCATCCGACACTGAACAACCCGAACGCTTGATTTAATCAATTTCTTCTTCAGCGTGTGCGTGGTGTTGGTACTGTTTCTACTCGGATTATATGCCCGTCATGTGCAGAACTCTGTGGCAGTCACTTCTGCGCACCTGATAGATACGTACGTCAACGAATTGGTGACCCGACGAGAACTGTTGCACAGCCCAGCGTTCTAATCGTTTTCATGAATATTATCGATATCTGTTCTTTTCAATTGACAAATAACTTCTGTAATTTGTTCAACTTCTTTTTCGTTCGAAACTTGAAAAAAAGTCTGAAAAACATCCATATCATGTAAATTAAAATTAGTTTAACACTTTGGGTTCCTGTTTTTTTTTATATTATTTGCATGTACAAATACGAATAAATCTGTTATCGTTCGTGGTTCAAGAATGATGAGGAGGTTCGTAATGACTAAAGTTGTAACTTTCAATCACCAAATCAGGACGGCATCCATTCGCAAAGACCGTTCCACTAACCTAGTCCTCCGATTTGAGGGCAATTTGTCAAAAGATCAGAATTCAATCCCTCTTTTGCACTTATTTCAGAGCGCTGCAGAAGTCACAATCAAAAATGTTTGCGACTATGTAAAGTAAGAAAAGGCAAGGGACCACATGGAAAACAGAGCGGATGTCGTTGTCCATGATGCCAATTCTAGAGCAAAGAAGCGCCCATAGGATGGACGCTGCAACTAAGAAGGAGTCCCAACGAATTTCACAACATTTTAGAGACTAAAGCTAACACTTGTATTACCATTAGGGTGGCGGAAGCCCACCTTACTCACGAAGGTATGCCGTCGCTCAGAAAATCGTGGAATGTATTTTACAAAGCGAGATAGGCAATATATCACCCTGGCGCTGGACTACTTTAGCATCAAATAAGCTCGAGTGCATCGGCAGGAAGCCCCACCCGATGAGGGTACTGAGCAGAATAACTATAACCTTGATCATTGCTTGTACCATGACCTAGGCTCTTTTGCCATAATTTCACCTACTGACTTCTGTGAGCTTGAACCTCATCGCGTTGTGCTAAGAGGGTCGAAATTCCCACGTAGAGGTGAAGAAAACGAAGAAAAGAGCCAGGTCATATAAATACACACATACATATGTACACATGTACGTGTACATATACACAGGGTGGGCAATTACGGTAGCAAGAGCGTGCTCTTCGCAATTCCAAGTTTTCAGCGGCAAAAGCTTCTAATTTATATTCATACCAGATTGGTCCCCCGGCAGCCACCGGGACCTCCCTTCACTGCGTAATCTTGACGCCTTCCACTGTGAAAAGATTTCCTCCACCTCCTCTCCATTTCCTCCTCTCCTCTCTCCACTGCTCTACCGCCATTGTAGCAACATGTGAATAACCAAGAGTGTGCTAAGTAGGTGTTTATATAGCCACTGTTTTGTTATCACAATCATGCCATTGCAAAACAGTGATAGGCAAGCCCTGCGAGCTACCCAGATTTGTTAGCGGCCTGTTTACTCCATTGGCCGCCTTATCACTCACTTCATTTTGCGGACGGACAGACAGACGTGCATACATACACACAAACAAACCGACACACCAAACTTCTGGTTTATATAATGAAGTGATTCCATGTATTTATTTCAATAATTCAGTGTTCCATCTTTGCTTTCGATACATCTAATCTAACAAGTGTGACAGCGGTAAGGCTTAAATTTCTCGAGAGATGATCTCTTCGTCGCTTCGACGAGCTATTTCATTGTGCTACATTGCAAGGCGATTCGTCGTCCGTGAAGCTTTCGTCGACATCCACTGAAGCGCTCTGTAGATTCACAACAATTAATAGGCCTAGGCGTGGAAGGACTGCTTCTTTAATTCCAGTGCGAAGAAGCGCTAGAGTACTGCTCGCTCAATTTGTCGCTGGTCGCTGAAGTTACTATCGAGCAACTTCTCTGCGGTGCTGTAAGCCTTCATTTTGAGGTTTGGTAACTCCCATTCCCTAAAATGGTTTACAAGCCTTAAAAGAATAATGTCGCGACTCTCGTCACGACCTTTTCAACGTGCAAGGTATGCGCCGATACTTTCCCGTGCTCCAGCCACGTTCTCACGCTATGGAGGACGAAATACTACGCCTTCCTCACGGACGCAGACACTTTCCCATGGTTCGAACGCATGCAACATCCAGAAGTGCGGGAAGTGCTCTGCATCTCTGCCTTGGCCCGCGCTCGTCTGTCTGTCAGTCGTCGTCCAGTCGTCTCGCCGAGCGGTTGTGTCCGTGGAGTCCTCAGCCATGGTTGGAGCTGCCGTCAACACCATCTTCGACAGCCAACGGATCGGTCGCATACCACTCCGCCGCTTATCCTTCCGATCGTGCCCGTAGGTTCTCCCATCTCTCTTATCCTTCTATATAATGTAGTCTCGCAATCTATTGTAATATTAGTATAAATCACCTTAATACTTAGTGTTCTGTTATGTAGCAATATGTACACATCTTTAGCAGCACGGTCGTAAGGTCGTCAGATAGGGGAGAGGGCCTCACCAGGCTCGCGGCAGGCAACAGTCGTCAGAGCATTCCTTACGCGACGCATCCCCCTAGGACAGGGTGTTCGGGCCCTTCTAATACCCGTTCTGCCGTGTCCTCGGTGCTCCGCCACCGATGCGCTTCATCCACCACCACCTCGGGGCACCGGGTCGCGACAGAATTGGTGCATCGGGCCGCAGTCAGCGTCGTCGAAAGGCGGCGTTGGCTGATGTGATCGAGCCTTCCGTCGCACCGCATGTTCTGTATCAGGATCTTCTATTACTATTCCCCTTTGGTCTTTCCAATCACCTTTCAATCAATAAGTAAACTCAAAAGCGTGTCGTCAGCGTGTATCTCGTGTGGGTAACGGTTGTCGTGGTACCACAACTGGCTTTATTGCATTACTACCCATGCCAGTCTAATGTTACTGTCGGGACCAGTGGCAGTGGTCCCCTCGGTACCCTAACAGGTCGCATTAGCTGGGTGTATACCTTGGGCAAGTAACGTAGGAACCTTATGCGCCTTGCGAATATCGCAGCATTACGTTAGGCAGGGTGCCGTTTGGTAATGCCACCGCGCCAATAGGATGGGATCATTTTACAATTGTTTGGCGGATTACCGGGTTTACCCATGAGGCGTAGGAGCCAGGCCATCCCCCACATTAAGCCTTGCACAGCATGTAAGTCTTCCTGTAAGACGTAAGCCGCGTATTCGCACGCGCTAGACCGTGGGCATCTACCCCTAACCGTTCCTCGCGCCAGCTACCTGCATTTCACCGCACGCTACATATATAATATTCCTCTGCAACCCCTCTTATGTCCCATATCAACGCTTGCTCGCAGCCATCGTCAGCTCTTGTACCCTCCATCTTTTCGTGCTACCTCTCTTTCTCTCTTCTTTCTCTTTCTCCTTTTCATTCCTTACAAAGTACCCTCTGCATCCGATCCGTCTCCTTCCACCTCGAGTCTTCAGCTCTTTCGCCATGTGAAGCTTTTCGGAGATTCATCTTGCGTTGTGTGTCGCCCTCGCCATCATTACGAATTCCGGAGCTTACCACTATCGCTACACTTCGCCTTCCAGACTGCGTTGATACCCATTGTCGCTCTTGTCCATCTACCATGACTACGTTTCAAGGACACAAGACGAGAATAACCACCGCAACTGGTATGCTTTCAAAGATGCTTTCCGCACTCGATTCCAGTTACTTAATGCCGATTGATTCGTCCACGACGGTTGAGGTACAACTCCGCACTATTTCACGTCGTGAGGGAAACATCTCGAAGGCAAGGAATGGAATCAAAGAAGCCGTCGAAATCCTTCGAAAACGCTACCAGTCCTTGTTGTTCTTTGCGCAGTCTCAAGAGGACCCAACACAAATCAATAGCGATATCGATCAGTTTTGGACGGAGATACAAGGCGAAAAGCTCATCGACGATGCGCAGGAGACCATACTATCTCTCGACACGCAACTCATTATGGATCAGAACATCCAAGCTTCACTCCTGTCTCAGCTCAATAACGATATGGTTACCACCACAGCAACATTGGCTGTCACGGATGCATCACGTCAGACCAACGATCTACCGTCTCACGAGAACCAGGATTGTCATCAGCGATCAAGAACCAGCTCTTCATCTCAGGAAGTCCCCCCTTCAATTTTACAACCAATTCAACTTCGGCCGATAGAGCTACCAACCTTCGACGGTGATACAGCGCAATTCCACGACTTCTGGTGCAGGTTCAAGACCGCAGTCCACGACAATGACACTCTCTCGTTGCCGACCAAGTTTATCTACCTGACGAACTCGCTCAGAGGAAGCGCCGCGTTGATAGTTCAAGGCTACGACTTGTCAAAGCCTGAGAATTATCATCTAGCAATCCACGCGCTCAGAAGACGATACGACCGTCCGCAGTTCACTCATAACTTATTCCATCATAAACTTGAGCAACTTCAGATGTCAACGTCGTCAGCATCGACTCAACGTGATACACTTTGCCAGATTCAGTCGTTCGTCTCGCAAATCAACCGCTACGAAGACACTAGTACCTCATTGGCTCTCATGAAGTTGATTCGAAGCAAGTTCCCTAAGGAAACCCAATTGGAAGTGAACAGATTGGAGCATCGATCGGGCAAAACATGGACCTTACCAGAACTCCTGGACGGACTGAACGAAGTGATTGAGGAGTATGAGAAGCTGGACGACTATACAGTAGATCAACCCAGCTCAGCAGTTCATGCCAATCCTGTCACTACCATCCGCTCTCGATCACCAACGCCTGAGCCGCGGTATGATTCCCGCACGTGTTGCTTCTGTGGTTCTTGTAACCATAGTTCTACCCGTTGCCATCATAAACTGACCCCAGTGAACCGTCGCATCATCGTCAGAACCCTTCGTCTCTGTTGGAAATGTCTCCGCTTTGGACATTCCGGTCAGGACTGTAACCATCACAACTGTCGCTACTGCAGAGGTAGTCATCACCGCATTCTGTGTACGCGTTCGGGTGGAAGATGTCGTGCTGCTACTCCAGACAGAAAGCATCATAGTCATGCACGCTCCCGTTCCGAGTCGATAACCTCTTCTAGTGGACGCGCAAGAAGCTCATCATATGACACCAGAAGCTCGCGATCGTCATCTCACGCAAGTTCATGTTCATCTCGACAATCCTATAGTCGAAGTCCATCTCCGTGTCATCGGAATTCGGATGGACGTGAACGTCAAGAATATCATGCGGTTCGCTTCAAATCGCCAGTACGTGATAGCAGTTGTCCTTCTTCGAACAAAGAGTTATCGATTCGTGAAGCAGCAGACTATGACGACGAATACGACCAACCTTCATGTCATCAGCACCACGAAGATCCGTCTGCAACTCTAGTTTCTACTGCCTGCTATAGTTCCACCACATCCACCTTAATGACAGTAGAAGCGTTCGCTGTCAACCAGCAGACCAAGGAACATATCCCAGTCATTCTTCTTCTCGATACTGGCGCACAGAGAAGCTTCATCTCGCAAAGTGCAGTTGATCGACTTCATGTTGCAGTCTCGCATATCACTCCACTTACGACTGTCGCTTTCGGAGCTATTCGTACAACAGAGCAGTCGGGTATGGCGAATGTAACACTCATCGACGATCAAGGAAGGAATTTACAGCTTACTCTTCGTACTAAGAACAAGATCACTGCTCCATGCTCGGCAGTTGGTCTTTCGCAAGAAGACAAGCAATTCCTTCAGTCTCACAATATTCGTCTTCACTGCCTTACTATCACTCGCACAGTCACCCCAGATATCTTAGTGGGCATCGACTACTTCTGGGATATAGTAACATCGGATTGTCCTCAGCCACTTACCATCAGGCCTAGTTCTCTGTCACACGCGTTTCGGTCCAACCATTTCTGGATCCAAGTTTTTTCGTAGCCAGCCTACAACAATTTCTCACTGATCACAAACCCAACTCATATCAACAAAATATCAATTCTGTTCCCCGCCTTAACCATCTAAACATCACCGGTATCACAAAAGATCCAGATCCGTCATTAGCTCGACCAACAGGATGCCTCAAGATCCCTACGGTCAGTGGACCTATTCGCACGCTGTCAGAAGCTTACGCCAAGACACTCCGACCCGCTATAGTTCCATTCTACGCTACGGCATCGCATCTCCCGTGTGCAGTTCCACCTTCTATGCCGTACTACATCTCCGATGAAGAAGTGAAGGACAATGTCTACGCTGATAACACCATATTGTGAGCGTCGCAGTTCGAACTCCATGCCGTTACGACGAACTCGAAGCACTTACCGCTTCTACGAACATCGTTTACGACATCTTCGATGCTACGACGCTAACAATATTCGCAATCGTACAACATACCCTCCTCTTTCTTCTCGAAGAGTGAATGGAACTCCATGTGAATATCCTTCGCCCCTACTAGGATCATTTGCGAGCCAATCTTCAAGACGCATTTTCAAGACGCACTGTGCCCAGAACATCTACCTCGACCTTGATTCACCACATGCCTTTTCCAGACATGTGCGTACGAATCCATCATCAGGATCATCGTTCGAGGCCGTGAAGATCGCTCGCCAACATCAGCTCAATTTGTCACGTCTAGTCTTCAGCAGGAGAGCGTCAACATCAACTTCCTCTCCGCAGTCTCGATTGTGTCGCTCGTTGTCTAAACGAATGGATTTCTCCTTCACGACTCTACGACCATCAGAGCAATCCATGCCAACACCATCTTGGACAATCTTGCTCAGGAGTTCTACCTGCACTTCGTCTCTGTCTACAACATCATAGGTGCAGTATATTACATTGTTATTAGAACTCACGTTCGACACATCAACGACTATACCCATGGACCAACAACATCCGGTCCGCAAGCCGTTTCGACAGCGAAGTACACAACCAAACTTGTCGATAGGAATTCTACCTCCTTACAATGAAGAAGTTGTTGTGGTTATCCGTACAATAGCAGCCTCGTCAACGAAGGTCATCAGCAGTCATTCGTCTACCATCCTACACGTATGACTGTATGTCCCGAAGCGCTACTGTCTGCTCTCTCAACAGCAGTCACGTACAGAGGTCAACGTAACATCTATATCCTCTGGAAGTCAGCGCCTAAGAACAACCGCAGGCATTGCTACGCAGCACCTCAGTGTGCCCAACAGCCATGACCCGTCAACTCTCTTCACTTCTATATAAGGATGGATCGGACAAGTCACTCTACTTCGACACGTCGCATCTTACCGTTCTTCATTTCCGTTCCTTTAGCTGTTTTCGCCACAGTTTCAAGTCCATCATCGATGGGATGTTCGATCAATATCAGCACTTATGCTTCGTGTTCTCTCATCGACGCGCACTGTATGGCGCTCTAGCTCAAGGATACGGTACTATTCGTGAATCAGGCAACAACACGCTGCTGCCTTCAATTTAACATCTCACGTTAGCACAGCATTGTTGTTTGCCTCTCGCCATCTACATTGACGTCTTCAGCTCATATCTCTCTCTTATAGTCTTCAGCTTGAATTGTTCGTGCATTATCAGCATGATCAATCCTTTGCTTCAGATTGACAATACGAGTCATAGTCGCTGTGTTCAAGTCGCCCATCAAGACACCATGAAGCGATCGGCAACGTCATCGAGCAACCAGCAATCGAGGAAGCAATCGAAGCCGTCTGGTATTCCATCTACCACGCCATCTGCTGAGTATTCCATGTCTGCATCTTCGAGCCATTCCACCTCGGCTCCAGCAGACAATACTGTTCTGTCGTCAGCTACCTCTCTGCAAGGGACTCCCGAAGATACTCAATCTGATCGAATTGGCAGCCGTTCGACACTTCATCCTCGTCACACCGACCCTATTCAGTCTGCTCCGTCACGTCATTCTGACTGTATTCGACCGCCTCAAGACCTACTCGCCGAATACCTCACGGATCAGTCTGCAGTCGAGAATCCATCACAGGATCGAAGTTCAACATCATCGGACTACCGTTCGCACCAGATCGTCCAGTCCCTTACCAACGCAGTCATGTTCGACCACACGTTCAGTATAGAACACTTGGCAACCAGAGACATCGTCATGGCAGACGCCTTCGTTACTCACTCATTCTATTCCACCCTTCGTTCCTGGTTGGTTGAAGAAACCCCGTCGCCGAAAGCAACACACCTCGACTACGCGCCCGTCAAGAACTATTCCATCTGTTCTATTATTCAATCGTACAAAGGACTTCATGCTGCTAATGAGAAAATGCGGCAATTTACCAACGATCTCGCCGCTCATCCGGAATATTGGCAGTCAGTTGAGAAGCTCGTCCAGCTATACGACGAACACCTCACTCTGCTCCACGATATCCAGACCGCCAGGAGCACTCTGACTGACCTCATTTTACCCCACATCCTCAACTCCATCGAGGACAATCGACTATTCGTGGATACGCTAGACTACTACACCATCACTCTAGCGCAAATCAAGCTCGTCTGTACAGCAGCCACCACGGAAACAGCGTTTGGATTCCTCAACCTCAAGAAGATCTGTTCGGCAATCGCACGTCTTCGCAGTTCCACGTCAGAACAACCAGTACCAGCCGAGACCTTGGATCTGGAAGATATTCCTACTATTGCTGAATACAACGCCGTTGTATCGAGGACCCAATCATCGACAGGTACTGCTACACAGCCAGCTTCATCCACGCAGTCTTCAGCTAATCTTCTCTTGTCTTCAGCTCGAACTAGACCAGTCGAACCGCCATCGAGACCGGAGGACGTACTCGCCTCAGCCAACTCGTCAAGCAGTGCAACACGACCATCAACTACGGATCGCCGTTCTGTTCGTACACGTCACAGAAGCCGTTCTCGTCGTTCTCGCTCGCCCGCAGCGGACAGCCATTCAAGACGCAGACCATCGCGAAGTCCATCCAGAAGTCAAGCACACTCGTCTCAAGAAGAACTTGTGCCTCCTCACATCAGGTGTCACTTCTGTCGAGAGAATCACTACTCGTCTGGTTGTACCGCCGTTCGAAGTCTAACAAGGAGAGCCACGATAGCAGTTTCTCAAGGAAGATGCCCCTACTGTCTCGTCGCCCATACGCCAGGTTACTGTCGCCGTCAATCGGAATGCTGTGTTTGCGATTCAATCGACCATCATCCAGCACTCTGCCCGTACAGTTACCACGTCGTCAGAGACATAGGACCCAGTGTCAACGCATTCTTCGACAAGATGTACGATCAATACAAGAAGTACTACGATCGCAGTCCGAAGCACTGACTGACCGGAACATCGTCGTCAGCTCGTTCATCACTTCACTCACTGTAATGGCCCTAACGTTTTGGGGATTCGGGTTTTGAACATCTTACCCCCATACAGCGTTGAGAGATCGCTGTTATCCAAAATCACACGTTTCGATTTGGGAGTTACGACCCCCCTTGCCGAATTGGCTTTAGCGAGGCTTACCATCTCTCCCTCGCATTTTGGACCCTTGACTTAGGTAAATTAACATCGTCTCAACAACATCGAGCCGTCAACGCCAAGTCATTCGTCCATCGTGCCGTTCGCCCATCGAGATGATCGCCCATCGTGCCGTCCATCGTGCCGTCCAATCGTTCATCACTCGAGCCGTTCGTCACCAAAGCCACTTCCATCGTCGCAACTCCACTTCAACATCACCGTGTCCCAGCAGCAACTCCAACGTCAACCTTGACGCTGGATAATCCCGGTCCACACATTTTTGTACCGTCAGACAGGTCGTCGAATGCCCTATCCGTCCGCCGTCAACGTCGGTTTCCAAGTAATAAGATGTTGCCGTGCCATTGACCAGTTTGAGTAATATTGTGGATAACATAGGTTGTTGGTTTTGTTTTTAGCTTTGTGATATATTGTTTGCTTATATTGCCTCTCATTTCAAATGTAATCTGTATCCTCACGTTACCATGCAGTTCATTGAAGAATTTACAATAGAGCTTGACACCCTGATTCTAGAGCTATGTTTATTGTATCGTTCTAGCGATCCCCCGAATTCGTTTTGCAGCAGCCCCCTCGCTTTTGCAAACAGTACCGTTCTGCACGTCAGACGGCGCTCAATCCGTTTGTGCGGGGGCACCGGGAGTGTGCGCGTACTTCTCGGTACAAACCTACCTTGTCCCCACATGGCACGGTATGAATGTCGGCGTAGAATACGTTCCCCGAGTTGGTCTAGCTCCTCTGTAATTCTGACGCCGTGCGAGGATCCGAAAATAACTACGCCTTTGCACGACGCAGACACTTTCTGAATGGTTGCGATGGACGCATGACGCAACATACCAGAGAAGTGGCGGTAAGCTCTCTGGGGCATTTCTCTGCCCTTGTGGTCGCCGGCGCGCTCGGTGCGTCTTTCAGTTCGACGTAAGCGAAGCAGCTCCCTTTTGCACAGGTCGCTTGGCAACCGATGCTGAATGTTGGGGAAGCGGGATTGTGTCCTCCCAGACGGTGAGCGGACAAACTGTCAAACTCGGTGATCCTGTAGGAAAGAGCGCACCAATTTGGGCGTCTTACCATTAGAACTCTCAAGCCTTAGAGAGACGACGGGGTAGCCTAGTCTCGCTGTCCTAAAGTTAGTCCAAGGTGAGCTCAGCCGGTCCTTCTGGCGAAGCTAAGCTGACCAGACTGGCGCACTCAACTTGTCGTCAGTACTGGCTCCTAATCGTACGCGAACGCGATGACAGGAACGTTCGACGTTGGGACCGCCCATTCCCGTCCCCAGACATTCATGACATATCGGTCGGCAGCGATGTGCAAAATGGGCTGGTTTTGCTGTTTTTACGTCTCCCCGCTGGTCAGGGTCCGAGACGTACTCGCCTGGTCGTCTCCGCCGAGCGGTTGTGTCCGTGGAGTCCTCAGCAATGGTTGGAGCCGCCGTCAACACCATCTTCGACAGCCAATGGATCGGATGCATACCTCTCCGCCGCTTATCCTTCCGATCGTGCCCGTAGGTTCTCCTATCTCTCTTATCCTTCTCTAATAATGTAGTCTCCGCACAATCTATTGTAATATTAGCATACAGTACCTATATACTTAGTGTTCTGTTATGTAGCAATATCTACACATCTTTAGCAGCACGGTCGTAAGGTCGTCAGATAGGGGAGAGGGCCTCACCAGGCTCGCGGCAGGCAACAGTCGTCAGAGCATTCCTTACGCGACGCATCCCCCTAGGACAGGGTGTTCGGGCCCTTCTAATACCCGTTCTGCCGTGTCCTCGGTGCTCCCCGCCACCGATGC